TCTCGATACACTCTGGTCTTGGTCATGAGTACCTGTGTCACATGCTGTAACTGTATGAAAGGTCAAGTAGTTAATCAAAGCGATATTGTTATCGGCTTCTACTTTTTATTGTGCATACTTTGTGCTTGTGTTATCAGTATTTTGCTGTACTTTGTGAATACCACCACCATGGCATTTTTATTGTCTCTGTGCTGTCCACTGATAGATATAATATGATACAATTTAACTTGAGTTTTTGACCATATACTTCAGTAGTCATTGTTAATGAGAGTAGATTATGTTTTGTTCTCCAGTATGGTAAAAGCATTTGGCTTGTCATTGTAGGAGAAGCACAGGTGTAACTAATAACAACTGAAGTGTCCCAGTAAACCAGCATGCACTATAGTTGGGCAGTGGGACACCTAAATAGAATGCATCAATTATGAATGGTATTAGTTACACCAGTGAAACGTCTATTGTTTCATGTTAAATCTATTCCTGACCTGCAGCTGACTGAGTTTTTTACATCACTCTGTGAAAGTGTGTGAAGTTTATCAACGTCCTCAATGTGGAACAAGAGGCCATGATTTAAAAAATGCCAGTTCGGTCCAGATTGAAATATCTCCACAATTGTTGGATGGATTGGTATGAAAGCTTGTACAGACATTCATGGTCCCCAGAGAATGAAGTCTGCTGACTATGGTTTTTCACTTATTTTTCTTGTAGCTCCATTAACATGCCAACATTTTTATTTACCTAATACCTGCAAAACTAATGACATTCCTCATCACCCTCAGCTGCACTTTGTGTTACGTGCTAATTAACTAATGTTAGCATGCTAACACCCTAAATTAAGATGGCAAACATGGTAAAAAAAAATTATACCTGCTCATCAACATGTTTGCATTGTCATTTTGAGCATGTTAGCAGGCTTACGTTAGCATTTCCCTAAAAGCACTGCTGTGCCAGCTTCACAGAGCTGTTAGCATAGCATAGCATAGTTAGTCTTGTTTAGTAATAATCATTAAAGGCTGATTTAATTTGTATTAGAGCATTCATAAAATGCATACTTTATTATAACTACAACTTTGCTGTACAAACATGCACTTTAGTGGTATTGACATTTTCTGGTGATCACTCAGTCTCCTCTACTTGCAGGATTACATCAAACCAATCTGGTGTTAAGGTGTAAGAGGTGCCCATGTAAGAGGGGAAAACTGTATATTAGCTTTTCCGCACTGGCTCCCTGTAAAATCCAGAATAGAATTTAAAATCCTTAATATGCCACTAGAACATGGCGCTCCCAGAATGCAGAGTTACTTGTGGTTCCTAGAATCTCCAAAAGCAGAATAGGAACCAGAGCATTCAGCTATCAAGCTCCTCTCCTGGGGTCCCTGTTTGGGTTCAGGAGGCAGACACCATCTCCACATTTAAGAGTAGGCTTAAGACTTTCCTCTTTGATAAAGCTTATAGTTAGGGCTGGCTCAGGTGAGTCCTGAACCATCCCTTAGTTATGCTGCTATAGGCCTAGACTGCAGAGAGATTTCCCATGATCTCACCTTCTTTTCCCTTCAGTACACGTTACTAACTCGACTTATTCCCCTCTTATAGTTTTGTGCTTTCTCGTCCCTGGGCGGTCTGTTCCTGCTTGACACTCGCTGCTACAATTATTAGTCCTATTATTCTTATCACTAATATTGCTGTTATTATTAGTACTATTATTCACTTTTAGTGATGTCTGTACCACTACAACCTTTAGTATTGCCTTACCCCCCAACCCCTCACTTCCCCCACCCCCAACCGGTCGAGGCAGATGGCCGCAAACCCATGAGTCTAGTTTCTGCTCAAGTTTTCCACCTGCTAAAAGGGAGTTTTTGCTTGCCACTGTCGCCAAGTGCTTGCTTGTGGTGGGAATTAATCATTAATAATATCAGAGTATGGTGTGGACCTGCTCTATATGAGAAATGAAATGAGATAGCTTCTGTTATGAATTGGTGCTATATACATCAAATTGATTTGAACTGAAGGCACACCTGAGGACGTGTGGACTGGGTCAGCATGTTCAGCATCCGATCCACAATGACATCATGCCAAATGAGTGCCAGTCCTCCGTGATACTGCACAGCAGCGGGGATCACCCATCTGTACAGAGCATACAGAAGAGCTGCTCCACCGGCACAGTTGTAAAGAAGATTCAGCCACATCCTGCAACCAAGACATGAGCATAAACATCAACACAACATGGTTAGATGGTGCTGCATTGTGGAAAGAGGCTGTGATAAATGAGCCGCAGACACACAGTGCAATAACAACACATCTGCATGAGATAAATGGGAGCTGTCATATCTCCCCTCCCTCCACCTCTCCCTTTGTGTAGGGCTAATGAGATGGGTGTTTATTATGCAGTGTACAATACAGTTACTGATCCTGTTTCCATTATCTGCTGCAGCTGCCAAGTCCAAGCTGCACACCCACACACACCTCAATGTGATGATATCACTGCTGGATATTATTTAATATCAATAAACACACAACACAGCGCTTTGTGTGCAGCTTTCCCACTCTCAGAGGCAATTAGTCTGCTTAGTATCTTGAGCACAGATGAACTGGGAAGAACAGAGCAAAAAGAAGGTGAACAACACAGCCGGAATCCTAAACAAGGACCCCTTTTGTGGGGTAGCAGTGAAGAGCATTGCTGGAAACGGCATTACCTTGCACTTTTAATGCAACTGTGAAAGACCAGTGGTGGTTGAGGTAATTCCTTTTGATTTGGAATTTGAGTTGCATGGCAACTGGCCCGGGGTTAAGAGCTGTGTCACAAAAGGCAGAGCACTGGGACTTTAACCTTTGCTTTGGCTTCATTCTAACGAAACGTTACACACAACCAGTAGATTCAGAAACAGAGCTGCAGAGTAGTCTTGGCATGGAACACTTGAAAAACAGACACTCAAGTTGCACGCTGTGCATGCTATCTAGCAGAATTCAATCTCTTTTTCAAACAAAGAATAGGAAGAAGAACAAGAATATATAATAAGACTCCATATATCCAAAACTTGTTCATTATTGAAAATATATATATATATATATTTTTTTTATGAAATGGCTTGAGAGAGGACAATCATCAGCAATTTTGTTATCCCAAGTGCACACATTCTTCAGTTAAAAACAGAAATTAAAACCAGACAGAGCCCAGGAAGAAACACTAAAAAAAAACATGTTAAAAAAAAAAAAATCCCCTCATGCATTCTGAAAGGGTCTCTCATTGAAATCGAACAGAAAATACGGCTTACATGTGTGTTCAGGCGAAGCTCCCTGTCCCTTCTCACCTCCTCTCGCCGCTGGAGGAAAATCTGAGTTTTCCAACAGCCAGACATATGCGTGTGTTTACATGAGACTAACTCCTCCCTCTTCCTTCCATCCCCCTCTCAGAGCTCTGCTGAATGTGAGCATGCCGGGAATGCACAGCAGTCCAACTCTCAGTGGTCACATGTGCGTACACACACACACACACACACACACACACACACACACACACACACTCAAGGATTGCAAAAAAAGATGGGGAGTAATTCCTGCTTGGCATTTCTTCAGGTTAACTGGGTGCTGTTTCATCCAGTAGCAGTGATATTAAGTATTTCAGTTCCATTTTGATTCCATTTTCACCTTTTTCTCCAAAGGTACCTTAAATGAAGTTACTATCGCAGAATGCAGTATTTTTTAATAATGCAACAAATAAAGTGCCCTTTTCTGTAGTGAGTCATCAGGGTAATCCTTCAAGTGGACATTTCTGAGGCTGTGAGTGATGTGTGAGTAAATCCACCTCATATGTCATACTGTAAACCCAAATAAGTTCAGAAAACTCAAAATATTTGTGGAACCTGATTACCTCAAACTTTTTAAGTAGTGGAAATAATATTTTGAGTAAACCTCAACTTAAATATAATACATTTCTAAAAAACCTTTAATTTCCGCATACTACACTACATTGATTCACTGATGCATATTAAAATTAAATTCCACTGATTCTTTACTCAATAAATTTAATTGTGGACAACTTATACTCTGAGGGAAAACTACTCAAAAAATGAATTGTGCTAGACTCAAATACCAATGGAAACTCGCTCAAAATTACTGCTAGTCAACTTGAAATTTACAAAATGCCCATTTTCAGATAGTACTCCTGAAAAATATGAATACAACTCCATTATTACAATTCAAGTTCCCTTTATTATTATCAAAACGTTCTGTCATTTGTACAGACAAAAAAAATAAGGCACATCTTGCATAAAGCTGAATTGACAAAGTAATTGACTGCTTGATCAGATAATTAACCAGCAACAATTTTGATTATCAATTTGTTTTCATTCTTTTTTTCAATAATGTTGTACATTCTCTATTTCCAGATTCTTAATGAGATATTTTGGTGTCAAGTGATAATAACTTGAATCTCTTGACCTAAATAAAATTTAGCATAATATAATATAATAATATAAAATTGAGCTTTAAATGTGTAATTTTATGGAATCATAGGCAAATAAAGATAGCTAATGAAGACAGTTTAAAGAAGTCCCACACTGTGCAAATTGTTAAGTCGGGTAGACGAAGTAATGGAACAATATCAGGGTTTCTGCAGGTTTCACCTGGTCAAATTTAAGACCATTATAAATGAAATTTAAAACCTATATCACGACTTTAAAAAAAGAAATGCACAAAGGAAATGCAGTACAAAATTACTTGCAGTGTTAATCAGTGTATTCAAATTAGGGTTGAGTGATGTCTAAAAAACTGGCATCGGACAATGTCAGCAATGAAACACCGGGATGCACCTGCTGACGTGAAAAATGGATCACCAGTGGGGAATAAAAAAAGAAAGAAAAAAGAGTAGAACTTAACCTACTGATGATGGATAAACTCAGGGGAGCAGACAGGGAGGCAATAATAAACTACACCCCAAAAGCTACACTTGCTAAAGATGTGTTTTCAGGCGGGATTTAAAAATGGAAAGTGAGTCAATGTTGCGGATGTCTGGTGGAAGAGAGTTCCAGAGACGAGGGGCAGAGCGGCTGAAGGCTCTGAACCCCATGGTGGTCAGACGAGCAGGAGGTACAGTGAGGTGAATAGAAGAAGATGACCTAAGAGTACAGGTGGGGTGTTAATATGAAGGAGGTCAGTGAGGTACAGAGGAGCGAGGTTATGAATGGCCTTGAAGGTCAGGAGCAGATTCTTGAAATCAATGTGGTATTTAACTGGGAGCCAGTGAAGCTGCTGAAGGACAGGAGTAATATGATTAATAGGAGGGGTTCCGGTGATGATACGGGCAGCAGAGTTCTGAACCAGTTGAAGTTTATGTATGGATTTGAGGGGAAGACCAACAAGAAGAGAATTACAATAATCAATGCGGGTGTGACCAGTGTGTGAACGAGAATGGTTGTACTGGTGGGAGAGACTGTCGGAGGCGTAAATGGAAGTATGCAGAACGAGTAATATTATTAATGTGAGCTTTAAATGAAAGTGTGCTGTCGAGGATCACACCCAGACTCTTGACCTGAGGGGAGGGGGAAACTGTGGAGTTGTCATTGGTGAGAGAAAAACAGATTTAGTCAAAGTGGATTTGGTGCCAATGAGAAGAACCTTGGTTTTGTCACTTAAGTTTGAGGAAGTTGCAAGAGAACAGGGATTTGTCATCCGCATAGCAGTGGAAATGGATGTTAAATTTACAAAAGATATGGCCAAGAGGAAGTAGATAGATGATGAACCGAAGGGGCCCCAGGACAGTGCCCTGGGGAACATCGATAGTGACAGGGGATAGCTCTGATTTGAAATGTATGAGTTGGATGAACTGAGTGCGGCCAGAGAGATATGATTTAAACCAGTCCAAGGGTGTGTGAAACCAATAGAGACTAATCTGTCAAGGAGGATGTTATGAGACATGGTGACAAAGGATCAAGGAGGATGAGAATAGTTAGTAGTCCAGAATCAGATGCCATGAGAAGATCATTGGTGATTTTTACCAGCGCTGTTTCTGTGCTATGGCAGGGACGGAAACCAGATTGGAATTGTTCATAGAGGTTATTGTCAGACATGTGCGCATGGACCTGATATAAGTGTGTTTTTTCAAGGATTATAGAAAGAAAAGGTAGGTTAGAAATAGAACGGAAGTTGTTGAAATTGTTGGGGTCTGCACCAGGTTTCTTAAGTATAGGACAGCTAATTTCAGAGACAAGGGAACAATACCAGAGGTGAGAGAGGAATGTATAATGGTAGTTATTTGGGAAGAGAGACAGGGTAAGCAGGCTTTTACTAAGTCGGTAGGAAGAGGGTCAAACTGACAAGTAGTTGGTTTCGGATTTCTAATAATGTCCAATATTTCAGCAACAGAGGGAAGCGTGAAACTTGAAAATGAACAAGAAAGAGGTGTCGGAAGAACTGAAGAAGAAAGACGGTCAGAGGTATTAGTAGTCAGTTGCTGGTGAATCCTGTGTAAAAAATGACATTAAGGAGTTACAGTAAGCAGATGAGTACAGATGAGGTGCGAGAGAGTCCGGTGGTCGTAGTATGTTGTTGACCATGGAGAACAGGGTTCTGGTATTACCTTTGCCTGAACTGATTATATTTGCATAATAGGTGAATTTGGCTGTAGAAAGACCGTCCTTGTAGTGGAGAATGTCCAGTTTTCTTGTAAAGGCGTTCCAGGCGACAACCTTTTACCTTGAGCTGGCATAGTCCCAAGAATTTAAAATGTTTTGTAGGCCATCATTGTAGTGAAAAACCAGATCATCGGTGTTGGAAAAACAGTTTATACTGGGGAGCCAGTCAATTTCAGTAGAGAGAGTGTTTAAATTAATGTCCTTGATATTTCTGAATGAAATGACACATGGCAGTTTTATTTTGGACAGTGTTAAGTTGACATTAAAAGAAATTAACATGTGATCAGAAATGGGGAGGTCGGCTGCAGTGTAACCATGAGGAGTGACACCAGAGCAGAAACCAAGTCCAAAACATGATCTTTGGAGTGAGTGGGAAAGTGAATATGTTGCGCCAATCCAAAACTGTCCAGGCAAGATGTAAATTCCCTTGTGTATGCATTAGAGGTATTGTCCATATGTATATTAAAATCCAGTATTACGTTAGGGGAGAGTGAGCAGATAAATGTGAGCAAAGCAGCAAATTCATTAATAAAGTCAGTATTGGCTTGGGTGGACGATAGACAGTGGCCACTATAGTTGGAATAGGACTGTTCAGCTGTGGGGTGATGGATTCAAATGAACCGTAAGAAGGTACAGAAACGGGTGAGATTTTCCAATTCTCGCGGTATATTATGGAGAGACCTCCCCTCTGCCCGAGTCACGGGGTTGACAGATGTAAACAAACCCAGGGTGAGTAGATTCATTCAGTTGTGAAAAGTCATTAGGTTGTTGCCATGTTTCAGTTAAACACAGAAAATCAAACTTACGATCACTCAGAAGATCCTGGAGGAGAGGACCCTTGTCCGTTAGAGCAACTAACTACAACTGACCAGTGAACTTGCAGGGCCACCCCTACCTCCTTCAGTCCCAGTTTCTCCACCTTTTTACTGATGTTAAATATAAAACATTCCTTCCTTCTTTTCCCTGACTCCCACTCCCATGCATTAAGTAGTACTATTTTTGAAGGGTGTTCTCCTTTATGTGCCCATAACTTAACAATATACTGCATTGCCAATTTCTCCCGTCGAATTGATAGTGGCATTTCCCCCATCTCTACCAGTAAAGCCAGGACTGGAGTTGTACAAAGGGCCCCTCAACATAGTCTCAGTGCCTTAGTCTGTATTACTTCCAGCCTTTTTAAATGTGTTTCAGCTGCTGTCCCATAACATAATCCAGTCTAGATCTTATCATTGCCCTGTAGATCATTAGTTGAGTATCTCTGCCTGCACCCCATGTACTACCTGAGAGGGAACTTATTACATTTATCACTTTTTCACACTTATTTACTATATTATTTATCTGCTTTTTCCATGTAAGCTTCTCATCAAAGTGCACAACCAAGAATTTGAACTCCTCTTCCCTCTCAATTGCTTGTTCATACATAAATAAACCACCACCTTCAGTTTTCTTATTACCAAATATTATGTACTTTGACTTATCTACTGAGATCTTAAATCCCCACTTTTCACCCCAACTAGTTACCTTGTTCAGCGCTACCTGCATTCGCTCAGTTATTTGTTTGATATTCCTGCCCCTTTTCCAGATGGCCCCATCATCTGCAAACTTCCATGAGATAGGAAGAATTCCCTCCTGCCATATGTAATTTATTAAGGACAAGATTTCCTCCAAAACCAGATCACTTAGATTCCTCACGATCTCATAGCTAATCCTGGAGCTGTTTTCCTCCCTTTTCCAATTGCCCTGTGTAATTCTTCTAATGAAAAAAATAAATTACACACATCAGAATTATCATGATTTACCTAAAGTTTGTCCCGATTTTGCTCTAATATCTCTTTTCTTTTCCTTATACCTGCTTCACCAATGTTAGCTCCGCTGTGAACTACTCTAAAGTTATTTTCACATAGTTTTGCTTTATCCAAATCATGTGTGGCAACCAAGCCCTCCTCCTCTAAAACTGGCATTTTCTTTTTTATATTGCTTCCTGACATACGGTGTACTGTCCACCATATATCTGCTACTGCTGTCTCTGCCCCTAATTTTCCACAATATCTTCTCCAGCACTCTTTTTTTGCAGTCTTAATCACTCTGCGTGCTTTGGCTCGCAGTCTTTTATACTCTACTGCTTTATCTTCTGTTGGATATTTCCTCAATGCTCTATACCCACGATTTCTATCTCTTACTGCTTTCTCACAGTCCTTGTTCCACCATGGTACACTAATTTTCCTTTGGAGTACTTCTTTATCGGGATAGATTCATTTGCACTCATCATCATTTCACATAAACTGTTGTTCCATTCCTCTACTGTCCCTTCCCCATTTACTTCCTCTATTTTTTATTGCACCTTTCAGATCTGCCTTACTATAATTAAAGAATTTTTGGTTGCCCTGTTCTTCACTCAGTATAGTCTTCCCAAACCTCAATAGTATTGGATAATGATCACTTCCTATTGTATATCTGTCCAAACAATCCCACTCTCCAACTCTTGCTAGTTCACTGGATGCTAATGCTAAGTCTATGCATGAGACATTTCCTGTTCTAATATCAAATCTAGCTGGTCTGCCATCATTTAAATAACTAATCTCCATCTGTCCATAAATTCTTCTATAGTGTTCCCATTAGTATCCTTTATTCTACTACCCCAAAGAGGGTTGTGAGAGTTAAAATCCCCACCCATATGACCGGGTTCCTTATTTGTTCCATAACCCTCTCTAACTCACATAAATTTATTTGTAAGCACGGGTTATAAAAGTTTGTTAATCTACATAGAACTTTTCCCATTTTGTTTGTTAGCTCCTCTGACAGTTTTAGCGGGTTTAAGGCCTGTCACTCTTATCTTTAAATTTAATTATCAGCTTAAATCCACCCTCCTCTTGTCAAACCTTGACATTTCCTCATGCTTTGGGAATCGTCCCTTTCACTCCCATTGTCAGATCTATCTCTTTTTCAGTTTGCCTGTCACCGTCCACGTGTGTAAGTGGACCGGGACAAAAAATCGGCCCTGCCATTTTTGGCCGAGGCGGTCCACCAAAATCGGTCGGACACCCCTCACCAATACACCATCAATCCATTTAGGGGTCAGATTATGGGTGTGATGAAACACGGACACGTGACATCGCACAAGACTGGTGTCCATGAATACAAGAAAAGAATATATTTAATAGACCTGCTATTATATAGAATATTTACAGTTGAAATATTTAATTGGGGGTCTGGGGGTCCTCCCCCTAGAAGATTTTGAGCATTAAACACTTTATTTCCTGCATTCTGGAGACATTTTCTGCACCAATTTGTGGTGGAAATGTCTTCATTTTTATAAAGGAAGCACAAAATTCAGGTGGCAATATGAAAATATAATAAAATGTAATGCAGTAATCAGTAGATTATTATTTTATTTTTTGGTTAACAAATGCTTTCAAAAGTGGTGGCTACATGTCCCCAGTGTCCCCAGTGTAAATGCTCCCTCCCTGCTCCCTCCCAACAGGCTGAGCTGCTCCATGCTTCCCGCTTCACCTCCACTCTCCTCCTGCTCACTTTCTCACTCGGCCCTGTCACTTTGTCACTCTGTTTCACTGTCTCACGCCTCCTCCTCTGCCTGGTAGGGGCTACAGCTCTTTTACTCTTCCAGGTGCCTGTGCCTGCTCTATGCAGGGTACTGCAGCTGACGTTGAAGCTGCTGCAGCCCCGTAGCAAACAGATCGGTTATCCAAATTATCCAATGGGCCGCTGTCCGTGCTTTATGGGCCGATCGTTGGCCTATAAAAACAGTTACATAAATAAATAATTTACGTTACACCAGCCCCAAAGGTACGTCAGCCCACCGGGCATTTGCCCGGTATGCCAGATTATCTGTCCAGCCCTGTGCGTACCTCATCTTTTGGACCTCATCACAGCTGGCCTGAACGTGCTGCAGAGCCTGAAGGATCGGGGTCTGAATGAAGACTGGCAGAGACAGACACAACCAATCAGCTTTCAGTTATCAATCCCACCTGAAGCGATCATTAAGCCTGTGTGTGTACTGACAGCTGTTCTTGGTGTTGCTCAGGCTCAGCCTCAGGTTTGCCATGGGCTCCAGGATCTATTCCAGGGTGAGCTGAGCCAGTTTACTACTTGAACTGCAAAGACTGAGGACGGAGACACAACCGCTGTTCAACAGGTACCCAAAGACCGTCCTCACTGTTAAAGATAATTATTGTGAGCCAGGTTCAGGTGTGAAGAAGTTTCGGAGACTGATGAAGATTTAACATAGCATTGTTTATTGAGCCCGGCAAAGGAGTCAATGCCAGCATACAACATGTGAACCTGTCAAATGCCAACATCAAATCTGAAGGATGACATCTGTTGGTCCCTTTTATGTTTCTCTCTTCCCCCTAGTGTCCCCCTTCGTTTCTCTATTAGGTCATCTTTCACCTAGAACAACTGATCTATCTGATGTCTATCTGATCTGACTCCAATGCTTCGTCATATTGAAATCTATCACTATCCATGAGTTGTACTCTAATCTGTGGAGCCAGTGAGTTCTTGTAAACATTCTTGTAGGACTCAGCCTTGTAAGATTCCCAGAGAACACTGATATCTGCTAGCCTGATGCCTGAGCAACTGACTCTAACTAATCAGTCTATTGTTGTCTCCCTGAAAAGGACAAGTACATGTGAGAAATACCCAAAGCTATAGTGTCAGAAAACACTTATGAGGTCAGCTAAATTACTCTAAACTAGACCTGTCTTACCTTTCCCTGTTACATCAACAAAGCCCCTTAAGAAATATTCTCAACACTCACCTCTGTCCTCATCTGTCCGTCCTCACCTGTCTCAATCTCACCTGTCTGTCTGGTCTGTCCTCACCCGTCTATCCTCATATGACTGTCCCCACTTTTCTGTCCCCACCTGTCTGCCCGTCCGTCCTCACCCGTCCCTGTCTGTCCTCACCTCTGTCCTGCCACCTGACAACTTAATGTTGATCTTTTCATCTGCTAACTTTCACCGTCACTTTCTGCCGCTCTCTCACATTCACTCATCCTTTGAAGAACGAGGAGAGGGAGACAGCCAGCATCATTAATGGTTGTGTGAAATTTTAATAGTGGCTCTCATTCATTAAGCAGCAACAGTAGGCTTCAAATACATTGCTAGAGACTGGTTTTAAGCCCTAAGATCTGTTTTTCCCATCCAAGAACTGATAAGGTTGCACTTCCCCATAGCTGAAGAATAAATCCGTTTTATATCTGTGGTACAATCTGAAAGAGACTTACGGCAATAACACGAAAGTTGCCTGTTTGTCTTTTGTAGTCGTAATACAGCAAATTATATTTGGACCGATTTGGAAAAGCGACAGGAAGAACTACAACACCATGGGAGGAAAAAACATTCTTGAGCCCTGCGGGGCCATTTCAATGAGCATTAGAGGAAAATAAATACCCGTTTAAAATTATTTAAGACCTAGAACACAAACATTAGCGAATTTAAGACTTTTTAAGGCCTTAAATTTATAAATTTTAGACAGAGATCTCCCTGTCTGCTCCCCTGAGTTTATCCATTAGCAGTAGGTTATGTTTTATAAAGTCACCGAAAAGACAAAGAACTCTTTTTTTTTTTTCACCGGTGATCCAT